TAATAATAATAATAATTATTATTATTATTATTATTATAGAGACCTCGAATCTAGGTCTCTGATAATAATAATAATAATGATAATAATAAAATAATAATAATAATAATTGGCCGCTCATAATTTATTTCAATTTCGCCGTTTTCCAAAACAATCTGGGTTTTCTCCACCCACATTGGCGTACACGTGCAGCGCAGCGGCTATCGACCCGGGTGATGAAACCAAGACTGTATTCGACTACTAAGAAATCTGCACACTAACCATTTTTTAGAGATAGATTCTACACGACATGCCTACACATAATCTTGTCAATTTAAAAAAAATCAAAATAAGGGAAGTGTTTGTAGCTTATAAAATACCAATAGGCAAACATTTTTAATAGTACGGTCGTTGAAAGTAAAAAAGAAGAACATTTCACCTCCTCGTTTCCTATGCTCTTTGACATTGCAAAATATAATGGGACTAGAATCAGACACGCAGAGCATGTTTTAAAATCAGTTAATCCACTAACTCCCAAGGTAGTGGAATTTTTAAATGATTTTATGGACTTATCACTTTTTTTTTCACTCTAAAGTTTCTCATGATTTTTTTTTTTCATTTTGTTTTTCACGTTTAATAATTTTTCTCAAACTTGCCAAAGTAAAAATAAAAGGCGTAGTCGATATTTGAACCTGCCCGACTACTTTCCTTGACCTCAGATGAGGTTTGCCATATAGGCTCTTTCTTGGAGAAGCTAATTTTCATTTTCAAATGTCCGCCAAATATTTTACATACGCGCTATGCAAATATTTTGAAAAACAAAAACAAAAACCAAACAAGTTTATTAGCCTGGAGGTTGCTAAACAGTCTACTAAAATTGTATTATTTGAGTGGGAAACAGCCTCTTCTATTTCTCGTAGTCTCATCATGAATATTCATACACTGTCCAGAAATTTTCTTCCAATCATATTCTCTTTCTGCAGCCTTTCTTCTACTGCTACTCCTTGGCGCAATCTTACTGCTGTCTTTCACCCATACTCCTGATCTTCTGGTTGGAAAGATCTACACCTAGCCTTCTCGGACAAGGGCAAACAATTTCGGAGGTCTCATGTGCAAGTCATGCGCAGGTTAAAGATCCTTTGGGGGTCTAAAATCGATAAGAGTAGGTTTCGACCGTCACCAGGGCAAATTGAAACATTTTCTATCAACTAAAAGTGTTTAATGTGTCCCACGCGCGCTCTCTCTCTCTCTCTCTCTCTCTCTCTCTCTCTCTCTCTCTCTCTCTCTCTCTCTCTTTATATATATATATATATATATATATATATATATATATATATATATATATATATATATATATATATAGACAGTATGCAGTTGCAAGTTGCAAGCGCCGTAAAACACTTTCGAAAAAAGTCAAGTAAAAAACATTATTTACGCTTAGCCTTTCTCTCACCCCCCCCCCCTCTAGCTCTCTCTGCTCTGTCCCTCCTTTTCTCAATTATCTCTTCTGCTCTCCTCTCTCTCTCTCTCTCTCTCTCTCTCTTTCTCTCGCTCTCTTTCTCTCTCTCTCTCTCTCTCAATCTCTCTCTCTCTCTCTCTCTCTCTCTCTCTCTCTCTCTCTCGCTATTCTCCCTCTGTTTCCTTTTTTATCACCCCTTCCTCTTCTTTAAAGGGGGGGGGAGGTTCTTCAGTGGGACAAAGACAAAAACAAAAACAACAACAAAAAGCAAAACAAACAAACAGCCCCCCCCCCCCCAAACAAACAAAATTAAAACCTTCTTTGGCAATTTGGCCGGTTTTCTTTCTCAGTCAACAATTTTGGCGTCACCACTTTTCTGTCCTGGCAATTATTTGTAACACGAGAGAGAATAAAAAGTAGAAACCAGCCAAGGACGTCTGTTATGTGACTGAGACAAGAGACGGTCAAGGAATAGACCCACGCTTTCTGCTGACCAGTTGTCGGACAAACGACTGTCCTAGAGATTGGTGCAGAAGCTGGTAAGGTAGACTGGATCCACGTCTTGTTTCTCTCTTCATTTGAACTCTTCCTTTCCCTTGATTATATTATGATAAATGATGCGTGATTCGCCCTTCTTACCATTCTTCTCTTCTCATTCTCAGTCTCAGCTGTTTTGTCAAGTTCAAGTTCAGAACATCTCTTGAATCTTGAAAAAATTCCGTGAAAATGTAATATTTTTGCTTTTGAAGCCTTAGATATGATGTCTCAGCTGTAAGGCTCAGTCAGACCTCCTGAATTTATGATGTTCCTGAGCAGAGGATCAAACTCTTGAGCCGGAGTGCATGATAATGCGTGTCTATAACATAGATCACATGCGATTAAAAGTAGAAACGATGCAAACTATTTTTAGGTAAGGCGCCCATCTTGTTTGACGTCAGACCAGGATACCCCTCCGATCACGTGACTACATCTAAGTATAGACAACCGCATGGCACCAAAGAAGGAAGTGTCTATGTATATTATGCTTAATCTACACAAATTTCTCGGAATTTCTGATAGCTGATTTGATAGCGCGTCTGCGTTTGATGTCGAGCAATGACTTTTGGAGAGGTTCGATTCCGGTCCCGGACAGTTTTTTTTTCTCATTTCCTCCTCCCGACTGACCAACAGTTCCATAAATTATAGGCCTAATTTGTAGAGTTGCTTTGACTTTGAAGTTGTTGTTTATTTTAAAAAATGTATTAGTGATTAAAAATGCAGGAGGGGGGGGGGGGGGTGGTAGATCTAAATTTAGATCTAGATCTAGATCTAAATTTAGATATCTAGATCTAGATCTATATCTATATCCGAAAATGTTACCGAAAACACATCGTTCCATGTTTGGGTAGGCTATCCCAGGAAGTGCTGACATCACATTACTAAAATAAGCAGCCAATCAGAAAGATGCGTCATTTCTAAATTCTAAGATTAACGGCATGTACATAGACATAGATCTACATACGGCCATCTCGTGAGAATAGTGCAGGCGAGTCTTGTGGCTATTCTCACCTGGTGCGCGTTCACCAAATTTTGCGTCAACCCTAAACCACAGAATTCTACACTGTGATAACAGAAAAATTGTAGAATTCTGTGCCGTGAACAAACGTTTCATTACAACTGTAGACTGTAGCCTACTAAAAGCGTACAATTTTGTCTGTGGGCAGTGGAGAGAGAGAGAAAGAGAGAGAGGAGTAGCGCGAGAATTTCCGGGCAAAACAAAATGGCGACCCGCGTAGTTCGGCTCGATTCGAAAAGTTAAATAGCCGTAGCATCTTTGTAGACAACCAAATTAATTTACTTTTGTGTTTTAACATCATTTTTTAACTTTGTTTTGGTCAATTTGATCGTCCACACCGATAGACAGTATTCAGAAAGAGACAGAGAGAGAGAGAAGAGGCTGAAGAGGGGAGGAGTTGATCTTGGTCTTGCGAGAACTTCCGGGCAGGTGAGAATAGCCACTTTCATTATAACATACAGTCTAGATCTACGTACACGGTAACCGAGCGCATTAGAAGTCTCTGTATCATTAGTATCAACGTAAGGTAACCGCTGTACTTTATTTAGTTAGTAGATCTAGTTCCGGGGGGCCCTTCGAGCTAGTGCACACGATAACTGCCCCCCCCCCCCGCCCCCGGTCACTCATCATTGGACTGGCCAATCACTTTTTTTTTATCACAACGCCGCACCGCTGACTCAGACTGCCTGTTTGAAGCCCACCTATTGCCCCCCATCACCCAACCCCTTCCCCCAGATAGACTGATACTGAGTGATAGAGCTCGCTCGATCTCTCCCGCTGTATCCAAGCTCGGGACTTTCCTTGCCCAGCTTAACCTAAGCATAAAAGTAATTAAAAATAGAAAAAAAATGGGGAAAGTCCCGTTGTAGGGGTCAAATGGAGGGCCACCTCTATTCTCACCCCGGGTGGGAATAGCGCAGGCGAGTCTTTTGGCTATAGGCTATTCTCACCCGATGTCCGTTCACTGTTATAGCCTAGATCTATAACAGAAAAATTGTAGAATTCTGTGCCGTGAACTAACGTTCCATTACTACTGTTAGCCTACTAAAAGCGTACAATTTTGTCTGTGGGCAGTAAAGAGAGAGAGAGGAGTAGGCCTAGCGCGAGAACTTCCGGGCAAAACAAAATGGCGACCCGCGTAGTTCGGCTCGTTTCGAAAAGTTAAATAGCCGTAGCATCTTTGTAGACGACCAAATTAATTTACTTTTGTGTTTTAACATAATTTTTTAACTTTGTTTTGGTCAATTTGATCGTCCACACCGATAGACAGTATTCAGAAAGACACAAGAGAGAGAGAAGAGGGGAGGAGTAGATCTTGCGAGAACTTCCGGGCAAAACAAAATGGCGACCCCCTGTAGTTCGGCTCGATTCGAAAAGTGAAATAGCCATAGCATCTTTGTAGACGATCAAATTAGCTTACTTTTGTGCTATAATGTAATCTCTTCTTTGCCTTATCCATTTAATCATCCACATCGATAGAAAGTATTCCAAAATTAGGAAAAACAGGTCTTGTTTCACACCGGGTGAGAATAGCATATATGGTGGCAAGTCTCACCCGGGGTGAGAGGTCGATCGTATTTCTATTCTCACCCCGGCGGGTGAGAATAGCCGCTTCCCAGATGGAGTAGTCATGCTTCTAAATCTCTTCTATACTACAAGGTGTCTAGATCTATGACTATGAACTTGGATAGAGAAATAAAGGCAGCCGAAATTGCCATTATCTCACAACCACATGGCTTCTCAATGGACACGTTGGAGTTAACACAGTGCACACACAAGACACGGCGAGTCGCACAGCACGATACTTCTTTGCGAAGAACGAGGGTGGACCTTCCGGTTACTGTGTATAGACTCTGAGACTACATGCCCAGTTACCGTGTACGTGTATGCACTCAGGCTATATGATTTTGATGAGACAGGCAGGCACGCTTCTACATCTGGTCTCACTCTTTTCTTTGCCTTTGGTTTGAGCCACTTTTATATTGCTTTCATTTTAATTTTGACAAAGACCAAGTGAATGATATTATGAATTTCTTGAAAGACTCTTTCCGGCAGTGTGCTGTTACTGCAGTAGCGATTTTGAGAAAATAAAATTTGGAAGGACTTTCATAATGAGCGACCCCCCCAACAAACGCAGAAAGAAGAGACCTGACCCGACCCGTCTTGCTTTTACCCCCTAGCCTATCTTAGTGTCTTAGACATGATGAAGCAACAGCGAGCACCTGGCACACCTCTGTGATTGGCCTAAATATAGATGATATGTGTATTTCCGCCATGTACTTTTGTCGTCTTCTGGGGTTTCCTCCAAGACTCTTGGGTTTCCCAATGCCAGTAACTGTTGACTAGATCTCGCCGTGTTTGATTTTTATTTTTTGGAATAAACAGTCTCGGCAATTCTCGTTCCATAAATTTACCTTCTCCTCAAAGTTGTACACACACACACAGCCCAAGCAGTCAGCTATGAAACCTAGTGGCGTAGCCCATCACGTGCTAAGCGGCAAAATGGGCCTGCCACAGTAAGATCTAGTCAACTGGCATGGGAAGCCCCGGAAGATGACAGAAATACGTCATACTGAGTCAGTCACAGCGAGGTGTGCTTGGTGCTCGCTGTAGCTATCAGGTAACTTGGTCTAACCTAAGCCAAAATCCCAACCCTAAGGCTTAGATCCAGTGGCGGTGGGTGGACCAAAATTTAGGTGGGGTTAGGTTTCTTCCACTTCTTTATCACCAAAAAGCAAGCAATAAGAACAAAACAGTGATGATTTTTCTATACTCACGGCGAACCATGGCATTTTGAGAACCATTCAAACGAGAAGAGTCACCTTTGTCTTCCGTCTCTTTGTTCTTAGTTAAATTTAAGCTTCTGGATGGTGGGGACGAAGCCATTTCACCTCCAAATTTCTCTAATTAGTTTTTATCTGAAGAAAAAGTTGCCTCAAAAGTGGTTTGATATAATTAATAACTGTTAAATCTCAGCGGCACAAACACACAGCGTCTATGACTATGAGGTGGATTGGGTCGAGTTGTTGCGGATAATAGAACGCGCCTAACAAAGGCCCAATGGGCGCATAGGTATCTGTGTCACTGGGGGAACGTGTGTCACAAACTTTCACCCCATTGTCAGGGCTGGGAGGGCGTGAGCCCTCTGTGCAGTGTTATTTTCAAAAAAATTAAGGCCTGCTCTATTTCTCCGAACGTTCAGGAAAATAAACTTCAACTCTATTTCTCCGAAAGGTTTCCGTTCTCGAAATTTGTTGATAATAAACGAATGGAGTAGCCCGTGTGTGTGTCATTAGTGTGTGTGTGTGTAAGATGTGAACGGATGGGGGGGGGGGGGGGTGGAGGGATTTTTTTTTACAAGAAGGATTTTAGTTTTTGCTGGGTGACTAAATGCAAAATAGGTTACTCTGCCAAGGTCGAGCAGTCTTGTTTTCTCGCAATACCTTTTGAAGGTATTTTCAAATGAAGTATAGTCCGGGAACGTTGCCCCAACCACAAATGAAGTATCCGAATATTTAGACATTTAAAAATCTATTAAAATTATCTCTTTTCACCTTCTTTCTGCTCTCTAGCAATATTCTGTTGTCTGCTTTCGTCTCCTCTTTCTGCCCCCACCCCCTCACCTCCTTTGCCCCCTCCTCTGGGCTCCTGACTCTTTGTGCAGCCTTTCTACTGCTACTCCTTGACTCCTTCTTACAGCTGTCTTTCTGCCACACCCCTGATCTTCTGGTAGGAAAGATCTACACCTAGCCTTCTCGGACAAGGGCGAAAAATCTAGGAGGGCCAGTGTGCAAGTTGCGCACGTTAAAGATCCCCTGGTGGTCTAAAATCGATAAGAGTAGGCTTCGGCCGCCACCCGGGCAAAATTCAAAATTTCCTACCAACTAAAAGTATTAGGTGTGTCCCGCGCGCTCATATGACCTTATGCAGTTGCGAGTGCCGGAAAACCCTCTACTAGATCTATAAATTTTTTTAAAATAAAAAAATCTCTAGCCCTAGAAATTGAATGTGATGCAAAAAAATGCTTCTTCCCAGTCCTCGCAGAATGGCAGAATGAAAGGATGACGCCTAAATCTCGCAAATATCCCAAAAAATCTCGAGATTGGAAACCGTTCGGAGAAATAGAGTTCAAGTTTATTTTCTCGAACGTTCGGAGAAATAGTCACTTCGTTTTTTTAAAGTCTTCTAAATTTTTACAACAAGAGTCATTAAAGACGGGTGTGGGAACCGGCTTATTCTTTTTGAGCCCTAACGACATTTGATTGACTGTTAGGTTACTATAGTTGTAAGCGGTGTCAACAATGATTGGATAAACGGGCAAGCCGCCAAGCTAATCACTATATGTTCATTGTGTGCGATAATAACAGTTTCTAACTGCTTATTTCGTTATTTAAGAAACTTTCATTAACTAAGGGATAGAGTTGGGAGGGGGTGGGGGTGAGGGGCTCAAGCCCGTAAGCCCATCACTGCCCACCGACACTGCCTAGATCTAATTATTATAATGCTCTAACCCCAGCCTCAACCCTTACCTATTCTCAAGTCTACTTCTTAGTGGTCGCTTGTTACGGAATTCCTGCCTAAAGAAGCTTATGATGTGAGAAAAAGTTTTTAAAATTTTTATTTTAAGACGAAAGTCCACCTCCTAACTAAAATGTGTCGACGGGGGTGTAAGACACCTAGGCCTACATTTTAAAAAATTCTTTATTGAACAAACAAAAATAATGATCAATGTGTCCGTGCTTCTGTACCCAAACTCTCTGTCCTCATGGGTGGTTAGGTTGGCAGGTGCTCTGGTTTGGTATACCACTTTCTTTCTTATGTATCAAACATCTATCGTCCTTTAATAATCTCTCCTCCTACTTTTTTGTTTGTTCTCTCTTGTTATTATATCCAATCTGTGGTACTTGGCTAATAGTTTTGCGTGCCGTAAAACTCTAAATCAAATGCAATTTAACTCCCCTCAGAAAGTCCTTGGCGCAGTCCCGGCCGGTCGACATAGACAGTCCCTCCCACTTCCACCATGAGCGTCTTTCGTCACAGCTCCATGGCCCTTAGGCGGATGGCCAGCAAGAACAAATCAAACAAGCGACCCTACACACAGCTGACACAGCCTGCCATGAAAGTCTCACAGGTATGCATTTTTCTTATGAATGACCTAATCGTGTCGGTAGTGCCTTAAAACGTGTCACTTAAATCATTCGCTACGCCGAGCCGTGGGGGGGCGGCGCGGCTAAAGTGCCGCCAGTACGCTAAGCCGCCCCCGGCGGCTCGAGAACTGATCTTCAATTTTTGCTTAGATTCTATTCCAATCCACATATCCATGTTAAAATAAAGGTCATAATATAATGTTGACTTCCGGGTCAAGCATTTCCACTGAAAATCGGAAATTTATATTCAGTTTTGAAACGCTATTTAAATTAGTTATTCGACTTTGTTTTATCGCAATACCAACATTATAGCCCGGACACCAGTTTTTGTAATTTTACACAAGATCTATCATTATTTTGCCCACTAAAGAAATGTAGGACTCTTTTTTATAATATTGATACGATTGGACTCATATTGCCAATGCACTGTTATTGAGAAATCAATATTTTGAGTGCTAGATCTAGGTCTAGGTCTAAATTGTCAAAATATTTTTCTCCCCAAAATCACTACTTTTTGATGAAGTTACACAAATAGTACCACTTAAGACATGTATAGGTTTATTCCAAATGCAGTTCTGAATAATTCCATATAAGATACGAGCAGGTTTTTTTCTGTTTGTGATCGTTTTTCAAGATTATAAAATTTTAAATTTTTTTTCAATATCGGATGTTATGTTCAAAATGTACAAATATTATCATTATGGAATGTAGGTAAATAACTGCAAACTTTTCAATATTTTCCAGTGCTATATATTAATTTATGGTTATTTTGATGTATCATTTGACTAGGTGCAAACATATTTTTTCAGTTTCAGCAAGGATTATAAATTTTTTATTTTCAAATTTTATCCGCAACCAATCAAAACTGTGTTGCATAATTGTCTCTGACAGGAACCAAAGTTGAAAAATACATAAATAAACATTACAGATGTATTCTACAAACCATACTGAAAATATTGGTGTATACGTTGACATTTATTTGAATTTGTGTGGCCCCAAACGACCTTTTAACTGCCCACTAGTCATCATCTCTTTCGCTCTCCCGAAAAAAAATTCGTCCACAAACCGAAAATAATACGTAGCGAATGAGTTAAACAATCAGCCTTCTTTCTCTTCTCGTGCTGTTTTCTGTTCGTTTGGAGGTGGTGTGGTTTAAGGCTACACACTGGTTTTTTTGGGTCCAGTTTTTTTTGTGTTTTGAGAAACTTCCCTTGAAAATTATGTATTAAATGGAATGGAAGTTCTCATAAAGCTCTAGTTTCAAACAGATAGCTCCATAGAATCAGGGTAAGTGCACCTTGCAGTTCCAAATAAAATTACGTTAGCTTTGACAAATTTTAAAAATAAAAATGTTTAATGATTTTTTATCTGTACTTTGTTATTTTGACTATTTTTGTCATTCACTAATATGTGAGTCTTCAAAAAATAATAAAATCATTATTTAATTTCAAGAAAAGCTAACATCATTTTCTTAAGATTTGTGTTCAGATTTCAAATAATTATATAGTGTTATGGCTGCATATGGCATGGCCTCACATTATAAAAAAAGATTTAAACTTATAAAGAAGACGAAAACACACAGCCTCTCTCTTGCCTGCCTGCCGGAAAACTGATTTATTGTTGTTTCTTTTACACTGACTCGTGTGAATTCTAAACGAGACAATATGTGACGTGCCAAGATGGGGAAATAATTGGGATATTAAGGAATCGTTATCTCAACATTCACAACATAGTTCATTCCCATTTTTACATATCATAGCAGCATTCATTCATCACAGATAGCATTGGCAGTTTTTGAGATTTTAGCTTTTGAAAATGGTCCTTCGGATAGTTTGGTTTCACTCAAATTTGCCATTTCTTTGATATGTAACTGGTAATGATTCCCAAACTGAATATTTTAAATCCTTGAATGGAATACTTTGAGAAAATGGGAAAAAAAGTAAAAATAACTTAGCAGTAAATTTTGGTGCTAAGAGGTAGTGGTAGTGTGGAGTGTGGGAGATGTGAGTGTGATTCATGAATGGAGAAGATTTTATTATTGTGTCGATGTGGTTTTCATTCATCACCCTAACTCCTGAACTTATGTACACCTACATCTGTTGTGCAGCGGTTACTTGTCTCCACTGTCGTACAAGGAGACTCGAGATTGATTCTTGAGTGGGGAGAACATTTTTATTGAGTGTCCCTGTCTTTGTGCTGTGAAGTATCTGTTTTCTGTGGTGAATATATCCCCATTTTGCCCAGGTTAGTCCTGATATGGCTCTAAGCAGCTGGCCTTCTAAATGGTCTTAACACTTTGCCATCATAGTTGAAAATGTAAAGAAACTGGGTGGTAAACATCGCTAATTGGCGAGATGAGGCGGCAAAGTGTTAAGGGGAGGAGTGATTCTTGATTTTGCTGATTTTGGGTCAGGCTATGGGAATTGAGATGTTGGTTGACTTTTGAAGATCAGCCAGTTCTTTGTTTAAAAATAGCATGGAGACAATTGAGAAAGTCTTTAATCTCCTCTTAAATTGCGGCAATAATTGCCTTTGAGAACATGAGGGTGGGTTAATATTAATATGTGAGGCAGTGTGGTGAAATCAGGCGCTTGTCGAAATAATGAAAGTCAAGAAACTGGCATTTTTCTGCTGGTTTGGGAATTTTTCTGCTGGTTTGGGAATTTTTATCGATTTTTTTTAGGGCTCAACACCTTTCATACACTGTAAAAAAACACATTTCTCAGTTTTCTGTTTGGATTTTACTAGAAAAACGTTGTGTAAAGGCATAAAAGATGTAAATTTTCAGTTTCCACGGACTCTCAAGCTAAGGAGATAACTGAACTTTGGCTGCCATTTTCTCACTAATTTTACCTCTGAAACCAGGTGACCCCCACCTCCTTCAATCGCAAATATCTTGAATTGTATCCAAGATAAATTTATATTTTTTCACCAAAAGCAAGAAAAATGAACTCGCCTCCTAAATTATTTTAATAGTGCTAATAATGGGTGCTTAAAAAACTTATTTTAAAATTTAAAGAAAAATGTTTGCTTTTTCTTTAAACTCACGATTGTATTTATTGTTCTTTTCTCCGTTTCTTCTCTCCAGACACACAGCAATGCACAGACAAAGAGTGGCTCGGACGGCTGGATTGTCCCGGCTGCCATTGCTATCCTCGGTCTGGGCTTCTCCACCTTCAGCACACACCAGCTCATGACTGCCAGCTCTAACGAATATGCTCTGCCCAACAAGAAGTAGGACCATGCATCTCACTGTGTGCCCAATTTGGTCAACTGAATGGAAGTGTATGGATCTGGTGTCTGGTTAAATTGCTGAAATGAGGGTACCACTTTTCCGGATGTTTCGTGATTTCTGTGAGCCTAACTGATGTCGAAAAGTTTTGTAGTTGTTTCTTGTTCCGTGTTGTTGTCTTGTGATTTTATGTTGTGATTTCGGAGACATCTGTCGAGTCTTTCTGGGAGCCATATGGTTCTGTGGTTCTTCTCCAGGAGTCTTGAAAGATCAGGAGGGTGTGGCGCCCTTGATATGTTCAGTGCTATGCAGGTGTAAATTGTATTTTGATCAGCAGTGTGTGTGTGTGTGTGTGTGTGTGTTTGTTGGGGGGTAGGGGGTGTGAGGTTGGCGGCAGTAGATATGTGAAACATTGCTGCTACTGGTGCTTTTTGCAATTTAGAGAGTGCTACTTGAAGGAGATTGGGTGGATGGCAGTGTGTTATGTTGTAAAAATGAGTGGAAGAACTTCAGTTTTGGTTTATATTTCTTTTTTTGTATAGATGTTTTGAGGTGTATATATAAATGTAGATGTAGGGTATATCTTTAGAAATTTTAGAGTAGTGAAAAGTTTGAAAATATTAAAAAAATAAGTGGAATAGAGAACTTGATCAGTCCTGAGTGTGAATTTACCCGAAAGTAGCGACAGTAATTTTATTGTAACTTTTAGATTCGGTTTTCAAACATTCTGTTTCATTGTGGGTTTTTTTAGCCAACCAAAATGATCTCAAAGCTTGCCAGGATGATGAGTTCTTGTAGTCTACTTATGTTTGTGTGCATCTGTACAGTGTGTAAATCAAATTTTTCGCCTATGGCAGAACTGTAAATACTGTGCCAAACACGTCAATGCAAGTAACTTATGCTCTGGTTTTGATATATATGACTTGAGAATTTTATTCCTGGACTGTTGTTCAATAAAACAGCTCTGCTAATTTTCAGCTGCGCTCTAGTTTTCTTTATTTCAGTGTGTGATTACATCTTTAAATCCATGTTGAAATTGTAGATCATTTTGTGAGGGTGTCTATGTCTTTAAGTTTTCAGTTGTGGAAAATTTTCAAGAGAAACTCTCTCTCTCTCTCTCTCTCTCTCTCTCTCTCTCTCTCTCTCTCTCTCTCTCTCTGGAATAGATGGAAAGACTTTATAGATTTATAGATACTATATTAAGATGATTCTTTGGCATCCATCACACCTGATTAGAGAATTGTCTAATACACGTATGAGCGTTCACAGTATTTTTCTATTGCAAATATTTTATGCCCACATCGGCATGATTACATCATTCAGGCAAATCAAGGCTGAGTGGGGTTTATCCCAGTAGACAGACAGAGAGGATCAATTCTATAATTTTCTCACTCAGAAATCGGTGCATGCTAAGGCCTAATGTTGACAAAGCTGAACCATTACACCACTCATGTGTGAAAGTACATTCTGTAACATCTTCCATGTAGATGCTTTATGCTCCTACCAACACTGTTTAAATCATATATGATGAGACAGGCTTCGACCCTGCCTGATGGGGCCAAGCCAGAATGGGAGGAATAATGTTTCTATAGAAAGACCAAATTACCATGTGTTCTATAAAAATTTTCCTCGCACTGTCTTCTGCATGCGATGGCGATGCACCTTACTGCTACACCTCAGACACTGGTGAGCACTCTTTGTCAACAGTAGTTTTCACAAAGGTCATTGGCATTGGCAGTCACACAACCATAGCTCTCCAAGTCTTGACTGGACGTAATTTTATAGGACATCACAGGTGGTTGGGGTTGGAGGGCGCCAGTGGCACTGGATAGTGATAGGCTGCACTTTTTTCTCTTGTCTGCCTGCCTGTGTTACTTTTCCCCAGCACTAAATACTAAATGAGTACATTACATACATCTTTGATTTTTAAGACAGAGTCACACGCACAAGCCTTCAAATCTATCGAAAAGCTGCATGTGTTGCCAAAATTTCATACTGCTTGGCAAAGATTCAGAAAATTAGGCTGTGCCAAAAATCTTTCATTTAGCCCAGGGTCATTCTTCTTAATGTGTATTTCACTTCAGATTAATTTTGATACCGTACTAATGCCATGACGATTGGACGAAATAATTCTGCATTAATTAAAAAAGAAAAAGCCAACATGTTGTGCCGACTGCATAAATCAACCAGACATAATGATGATGCAGGTGGTTGGAGTTGGAGGGTGCCACTGATGGTAGGTCCAGCTTCTTTACTTTCCCTCTTTTGTTTCTTGTAAACAAACAATGTGGATATCTCCAGGTGCGTGTGTGGTTAAAAATAATCCCAGGCCAAGGCTCGACGAAGATGTGACTGGCAGGCGTCCTTGGCTTGTGCATATATTATATACATGTATATATATAAATATATGTATATATATGTGGCCTGTTTTAACTGACTGGCTACAAAATAGAGTAATGTTAAGGACCTGGGTTCTGCGATACAGTACATACAATTAACATAAATTAAAATGGCGATTAGAAATTGGAACTTTTCACAGCAACTGTCATGTGTTTTCTGGTTGGATGATTAAATCAGGAACTAGTCATTTTGAGGGTGCAGTCAGCAGAAGATGGTCAAAGGCCTGTACAAGTACTACTACCCCTGTCAGGAAACAAGCTGGATGGAAACACTTCATTTATCATTTGGGAAGAAAGATGAGGAAAAGTGAGACCAAGCTTAGATTCTAACTGCCAACCTGATGTTCAAGTTGGAAACCTACTAGTACTACACTAGCCGAAGTGGCCACAACGGGCCTTTCAATTTCAAAGATACAATGTATTGTATCCATAGGCACGTGTACAGCCTAACTTCAACAATAGAGTTGAAAGGGGTAGTAAATATTAAACTGGGTGGATGTGGTGTCAGATGTTCTGGTGTAGTTTGTTCCCTCTTTCCTATCGAACATCTATCATCACTATCTCTCCTCCTTCTTTCCTGCAAAAAATCTGTCCTCTCTTATCTCATCTCCTTCTTTTCTTTTAAGTTGTATATGTTGTTCTCTTGTTGCACCTCTAATCTCCTGCACTTATACAGGATATCCCAAGCCCGATGGCTGCCAAACAAATTTAAATAATAAAACTAAAAAAAACAAAAACCCCTTTAATGTGAAGCAAAATCCTTTGGCAGAAATACAAAGCAATCATCCAGACAGACAGTTGCACAAATTATTTCACGAAAAAAAAATCTGAATTAGAACTGTCAGCTTTACAAAAGATGCTCTACATGGCTGCCATCACACACAATGTATTTTTGCATTCTGGCTACAAAATGTGTAGCGTGCTGACGACACTGCTGTGGCGTGGTAACTCTCATAAACTTCTTGTCTCAATTTCTGAGTTCCTGAAGGGTTAAAAACCTTTCACCTAAGATTTGGACTGTGAGGTAACCCACAAAGAAAAAAAAATGTTCAAAACAGGACTGGGTGGTACATGTGGGTACTCTGTTGAGTGACTGGTAACACGGTTCCCAAAATGTCTCATCATCAGGCTGGTTCAGACATTCTGCAGTGTGCTTGGCCGTCTTATCTGCATCAACCTCATCTTGTCTCATAACCACAGAACAGCCCCATGGATCACCGATTTAACATATTCAAATTCAAATAATGCATCGAGTGACAGTTTGTGTGCCTCTGCCTTTGTCACAGAACCAAAAATGAAAATGGCCCTATGTCACCTTAAGAGCTTAAAGTTAAAGCTACCCATGCTGTTGCTTTTTTATTGTGCAAGTCTCTCTCATTCACATCATCTGGTCTCTCTGTTTTCCATCCCAGCGTAAACAATTCCCAGAATTAAATTTTCTAGTCACTTGGCTTTGAAATGGCCCTCATTGTGAAAATAAAGAGACCGTAAAAAATTATCTCTATATTGTCTTTTTTCTCTATCACAACAAAGCATTGTCTTTGGTCATAGTCACACCTTTGTGATTAGAAATGTGATATGACTTCATTTTCAAATCATGCTTTACTAAGTAAATTACTTTAAGATTCTGTAAATCAAGGACTTTGACAAGCTTAGTTCACTACAAATGTCCTTGAACAAACTTCTTGGGTGTTTTCGCGACCGACTCGCGAACTGCTTCCACATTTCACATCATTTCGGCAATGCTTACTCGTATCCTTAACGGCCTTCTGACAGATATCCTTTTACTTTGAACTGTTTATGCATTCCCAAATTGTTCCTTCAGAAGGTGCACTCGATCTACAACTACAAGTATATCTAGAATCAACAGCTCCTACTCCCCGCAATAGCAAACTTGAAGCGTGGGTGGTTGGCGGGTGCTCTGGTGTGGTTTGCTTCTTTTTTTCCCATGAAACATCTATCGTCCTTATCTCCCCTTCTTCTTTTTTATGTTTGTTACTCTCTTGTAACACCTCTGATCTTCTGGCGCTCATAATCATATGACCTTATGCAGTTGCGAGCGCCGTAAAACCTCTACTAAAAAATAAATTTAAAAAAAAGACTTGAAGCTTCTTTGCGAAGTGAATTCAACATATTTTCTGAAGCAAAGTATGGCCTTTTCGGGGCTACTGCAAGACATGGCTGATGCAGCGGTGCTCTTATGACTATTCACATTTGAACACAGATTATGGCATCCGGATGATTTAATAAGTAAGGGTGGGTCAGATCGAACCCCTAGTTTTCTCGGATAATGGTGAAAAACTCTCGGAGGTCCCGTGTGCAAGTTGCACACGTTAGAGAACTCTTGGTGGTCTTACAATCAATGAGAGTAGGCTTCGGCTGCCACCCAGGATAAATTCAAAATTAATTCCTACCAAACTGATAATATATATAATGTGTCCAGTGTGCTCATATGACCGTATGCATTACATGTAATTGTGAATGCCATGTAACACTAACCAAAAACAAAACAATTCCTCTAAAGTCTGGAGCAGATCTGCTCGAAATTGAAGAAGATATTATTTTTCTCTTGTTGCTGGGTCTGGGACAGCAGGTATGAGTATGATCTATTTGTGTTGCAAGTACCGTGAGCGTGAGAGACAAAAACTCTTACTAAACTACTAAAAACTTTAAAAAAGCTAAATTGAAGTCTAGCTAAAACTTCCAATTAGTGAGCCACGGTTCAATTTTTTTGGAGTAGAAGCATTGGGGTTGCGAGAGGTGAAAGAATAAAAGAATCAACTCATGGTGGATAATTACATTCAAATACTGAAGTCGTATTTATTTGTGGAAGTTCTAAGAGATTGTAGGATTTACTTGAATTTGCAAATATATATTATGTATATAATACAGAGTAAAATAATAAAGGAATGCAGTATATTTGTGTCTACACTCGGGTGTTGAGGTGACAAAATATGACTGACCCATACTAAGCATACTGAATAGTGATTTGATTTATTTTATTTCTCATCTCATCTCATTTCTGCGACTGTTGTTGAATAGAATTGTACTTCACTCCACAGCGTAGATTGGTGCTGGGGCGTTGCCTTGGCTCTGAAGGTCTTTGTAGCGCTGGAAAGGATCTTGGTCCTGAAATGAAAGGGAGAGGAGATGGGTTGAGTTTGAGCAAGAGTTTGTTTTTAACTTTAGTGTCTTTAGTTTGAGTTACGAGCTTAATTCACTTGAGCCTGAGCTATTTTTTTTACCAAACAACAATAGCAGCCTGGATGTTTTGGGGGTATATGAATCAACCCAATAAGACTGTGAAAGTACTAATGATAAAAAAAAAAGTAACGAAAGAAAGAAAGAAATGCTCTCACATAAAAAGAAAACAGCATATATTTTGTCCAAATAGTTTTTAATTTATCGATATTTTGAAATGGCAATGTCTGGGGGTTAAACAATTTTTTGAGTGCCCATTTTCAATAAAATCATCTATTGCAATGTGGAGATGACTGACTTAGCACAAAAAGTGTGGGATATAACTTCAGCAAATCTTTATTTAAACTAAACAAGTGGGTCAACTGTTGGCTTGCCGCTTCGCGTAACTTGTAACCGAAAAACATCACAGATATCGATCGATAAATTGCATCCCGTAAATATACGGGATTCGGCCACTGGGCTGGCGGTGCATCCCATAAATACACGAGAATAGGCTGAGGTGAATTAAATGGCACTTCCAGCACAAATGCTTCATATGTTTGTCGAAAATTAGGACTGCTACTAGAGAGTAACAACATTTCAAGAAAAGGAGGAGGACAGCACAGTGCATGTACTGAGGTAAGTGTTGGGTATACAGTACATGTACTGAGGTATGTTTTGGGTATACAGAACGAGTACTGAGATATTATGTGTTGGATATAAAGTACATAATTATAATTATATGCTGAGGTGTGTGTTGGGTATACAGTACAAGTACTGAAGTATGTAAGAGTATGAGTTCAGAGTACAGTACATGTATTCAAGTTTAGTATTATGTGTTTGGTATACAGTACATGTACTGAAGTATGTGTTGAGTATATAGTACATGTACTGAAGTATGTGTTGGGTGTACAGTACATGTATTGAAGTATGTGTTGAGTATATAGTACATGTACGGAAGTATGTGTTGGGTGTACAGTACATGTATTGAAGTATGTGTTGGGTATACAGTACATGTACTGAAGTATTTGTTGGGTATACAGTACATGTAGGCCTACTGAAGTATGTATGTGTTGAGTACAGTACATGTATTGAAGTATGTGTTGGGTATACAGTACATGTAGGCCTACTGAAGTATGTATGTGTTGAGTACAGTACATGTATTGAAGTATGTGTTGGGTATACAGTACATGTAGGCCTATTGAAGTATGTATGTGTTGAGTGTTCAGTACATGTACTGAAGGAGCATTGTATTGGGTGTTTGGATTTTTTTTAAAAAGTAAATGATTCATGATGGTTTTAGTGGACATATGTAAGTTCTGCAGCCAAAAATACAGCTAGCAACATGGCTCTCAAAAGCAGTAGCCTACATCAGCTGCCTGCAATCTGCATGCTGGTGTAATGGTAAAATTTACAGACTAACAACGCCTACCCTGTTGTTTGAGACGCTTCCAGAAAAGTCTGCAAAGGAGAAGTTATTCTTGAAGTTTGTGGAGGAGAGAATGGTGGCCAGGTCAGCGTCCACATTCACGGCCTCTCCTTTCTGCAGGAGAAATAAACCAAGACAAAGAAAATTACTTTTCGGGCGGCGATGCAGCAAATATGCCATTCAATCTTGTTACGTCTGTTTTCCAGAAGACAATTATTTATTATGAGGATGATGATAATGATAATATGATAATAACAATAACAATAATAAAATTGATAATAATAACAACAATAATATTAATAATAATAATTAATAATAATAATAATAATAATAATAATAATAATAATAATAATAACTAATAATAATAACAAAAATAATAACAACAATAATAACAACAATAATATTAATAACATAACAGTTTTCTGCAGTTTCCATAACTCAAAAATATAATGTTGTGCTCACCATTATAATCCTTACCATTACGGAAAAAGATCGTGGTATCAGCCAACAGCAGGTAATGTACCCATGGTATAATCGCACCACGATAACAAATAATTTGATACAGAAATCAAATTTGTCTTCTAAGTTTGCCCCTATCTCACATCACAGACATACAAACCCAGAGGTAGTTTGAGCTAAAAATAAAGGGGAAGCTTTCAGAGCAACGCTCTTTCGAAATACATGTAAAAACTAAAGGAGAAATGTGAGTTGTGCTGACAAAATGAGTTTACTTCTTTCGGATTTTAGTCGCATGGAAATGGATACACCAACTTACAGGTGGAGTTTGCACAATTTGTAAGTGTGGAATAATAAAAGACAAGGCAGACTTGAACAAAATGGCATCAACTGAAAATCTATAAATCTGACCCCAATGCTGATTTTAAGCCGATATCTCCATTCTTGGATCGCGAGATGTAAACTCATTTTGTCAGCACCCCTCGCAAATCAGAGCCACGCATTTTGTTCGATATCGATTCATTTTGGTGTTTGGTTCCAACGACACGAACACACTTTTCTCACTTAATCCATTGACTTCTCTGGAAAAAAGATTCTGTGACACTTAATTTTATCAGAAATAGTACTGAGTAACACTTTTAAATGGCAATAGAATGGTTGGATATTAGGGCGATAAAACTGTATCGGTTCGTTAAAAAGGCTCTGACAGTTTGCGGCTAAAAGATTCTATGTGTTTTTCGAAAGAGCGCTACTCTGATGCTTTCTTAAATCTCCTTTTGCTTTGTCCTTTCTCCAATTTGAGAAATCAGCACCCCACTCTAAGGCTAAAACAACACCTGGACATAGATGGCTGGCGCCTCTGTAAATAAATAAATCATTGATGGTCAGCATCCCACTCCGCTTTCCAACCTCCTTATGATAGGTATTTGTACCTGTAGATTATATGTGTCACGACGCACTGGAATCAGGATCTCGTCAATTTTTGGGCATGTAGAGTTATTGGTATCATCTTAAAGCATGTTCACTAGTCTTTATTCTGATGAGAAAAAAAATCTATTTATCTTGAATATAAGTCGAATGAAGGTGGGGGGTCATCTGGTTTCAGAGGTAAAATTAGTGAGAAAATGGCCGCCAAATGTAAGTTATTTCCTTAGCTTAAGAGTCCATGGTAACAGAAAATGTACATTTTTTGTGCCTTCAATCAACGTTTTTCAGTAAAA